CCAGTCTCACTACAAAAAAATGTCACTTTTGACTATCAAAATATTAGTCGCCAAAAGTCCAATATTTAGTCGTTGAAACGATTTAGCGACTAAAATATTTTGTCGCCAAGCTCGTCGCCTTTACCCTGTCGGCGATAGTATTGGTGACTAAATTTCGTTTGGCCGCCAAAAGTGACCACATTTGGCTACTAATATTAGTTTAGTCGGCAAATGTTATGTTTCCGCCACTAAAACCTTTAGTCGCCGAATGAGACTTTTTAGCTACTAAGTTGTTGTGGTCAGGGAAAGTGTCACCTTCAGCTACTAAATAATTAGTCGCCGAAAGTACACATTTGGCTACAAAACTGTATTTAGTCGACAAAAGGTGCATTCGGCGACTAATGTGTTAGTCACTACAAGTGCATTGGGTTATGTTTTTGCTACTAAATTCTTAGTCACCAAAACATTTGATTACGTATTTAGCTACCAAAATCTATGGTGGCCAAATACTTTTACGTGTTTTTTTTTTAATTTTTTTTTCTAAACAACCTGTATCCATTATTAATACAACCTGTACCCTGTATATACAATATAATCCATCAACGCTAAATATGTTATCAAGCATTCAACAACGTGCACACATTTTAGTTCCAACCATCCAAAAAATTAATATTGAACGTCCAATTATATATATATTACAAATTTCATAAGAACCAAGTCTAACCTAACGTCAATAATTTAATTTCATACATAATATAGGAAAAATCAACTACTCCCATTACACATTTTAGTTCCAACCATCCAAAAATAAGTACTAATAAGTACAAGATGTCGTCCTGGCATCACTATAAGCTCCCATTGTTCGAGTCCTTCCATAAAACCCTTCGATTGGAAGGGGCCAACTACTCCCACTCGCCCATCCCCTTCATCCACTGCTGCTAGCACCTGCAGAACCATTGCATGAATGTGACATCAAGTGCATGTCTAATAAAAATATAGAAAGACATATTCATAGTGTCCTCGATCCAAGTACACAATGTAAAATTACTGCATAGGAAAAAAATAAAAGACGTGCTTACCTGCAGTACCATGGAAGTTGAACCCATCATCCCAACCAGGCAATTGGACTTGTGTTTAGATTCTTGCATCTCCAGAGCCTGAAGAGACCTTCAGCAATTGAGCTAGGAAACAGATGTAGAACATGCATACAAAAAAGAAAGTCAATGATGCAAATAAAAAAGAAAACTCATCAATATTAAATAATGAAAGTCATTACTATTAATTTATTCCAATATAGAACATGCATATATGTTGTTATGAAAGAAGTGTTGTGAAGTATCAATGATGAGAAAGTGCTGATGTAAATAGAAACTTGAGAGAAAAGTCATTGATATTCATTTCTTCTCTTTTGCTTTCAATACATCAACAATACTTAGATAATGTTGCAAAGGAGGGAAGGTTGCTTAGATAATGTGGTTTGCACTGGTATCAAACAAATTATTGAGGAAAGTTATTTATGGAAACAATAAAATAAGTAGTTCATGATACAACAAAAATACTTCACATCCCAATTATTTACTGAAGGATCAAAAGGTTGGTGACAATATGTGTAAAAAAAATGCAAGAAGCCCCTATATGTTCATAATTCGAGGAACTTTCCCAAGCTCTCTTTTCTAACTCCAAAACAGTTACTTTATCATCTGCCAACATGCCAAATGTAAGCCGTACTAAAACTTAAATTGAAAGGCAAACTCATTCACACATTGAATAAATTGAATGAATTCTAACAGGGTACGCTTGTTAATGTGACTAGACCTAATCTCGGTCATGATGGCCGAAGATGATGGCATAGACAGCTGAATTGCGAAAAACAGTACATGAAGCCAAGGCCAAGTTTGACATGATTGAAAAAAGACCAAAAGTCAAAAAGTCACTATCCTATTTAAGTCATATCATCTTATTTAAGTCACACCACCTCTCTAACACATCACTTCAAACCCAACCCAAACCCAACCCATATTTCATAAAAAGTCAAAAAGTACACTTATTTAGTCTTCCCAAACTAGGCCTAAATGGAATAAAAAGCCTTAATGAGTTGAGTACACATTTTACAGGTTCAGCTTTATCATGTGTTGCCAAGACTAGCATATTACAAGCTCGTAAGACTTTGTTTTAATTTCACCTCAACGCATATATTAATGTCGTGAATCATGATGAAATCAGTCCTAATCCAAAATCCAAAACCAATAAATTGTTTGTCACTCCTATGCATGTCTACAAAACTTGCCCAACCAATAAATCATTAAATTGTTTGTATATAATAGAATTTGAAATTTTCATGACGAATACATACACTTCCCCAACCAATAGAATTCCCAATAAAACTTTGTCTAAACGCTAGAGTTGAACTACACAAAACTAATGTTTTTAAAACATTTAAACTTTTTTAAAAGTAACTCATGTTAGATCAAGGTTCTCATCATTGGGCAAACCAAAATTCAGAGTACATAATTATAAATCAATTGCATTTCCATATAGCATTGACTGAAGGCAAGAATTGAATAAGCCATTTCTTTTCTAAACCATTGAGATAGTTCAACTCTTGCAATTAATAGTTCTAAATTTAACACTTCCAAGTTCCAACCACTCAGATAAAGGCTAAAAGCAGCAGTACCAACCGAAAACCTATTTTAGAATTAACTACAGAGGGAATAGAATGGTGATTCCATAGGCTTTCCTATAGAATGACCAAACATAAGAAAGAATATTTGTCATTATTTTTTTAAGTCTAACCAAACATAAGAAAGAATATTGTAATGGAATAATCATTTTATTCCAATGAACCAAACACTATCTAAGTCTCTAATAGATTATCTGCAAATTATGAATTAAATTCACATAATCCATTGTTTTTGCAATTTGTTTACAACCCAATCTCCTCATCAATACATTGAATAAATTTGATAAATTCAATCCATAACCCACAGTCAGCCATTCATTTTAGCTGGGCAAATTCATAATGAATGAGTGCATTGAATCCAAAAAATCAAAATTTCATAAATCAGAGCATTAATAGAAAACACAAACAGATAAAAATGAAGCAAAATGGAAAAGAGTGAGAGCTTTAAACAAAGATGGAGCTGATAAAGAAAGGAAAAGGAAATTGATTTTTAAGAAGTGATAGAATGGTGTGCATTCATGTTTCCAAGAACAATAGGGATGACAATTTACCCGTCTGCCATTATAGGACTTTTTTTTTTCCCCCTATGCCAATTTTTGCTCCTATAGGGCTGTCAAATGTTGAATCCCTTATTGATTTCAGTATAAGGACGATACGAGCCTCCCCTAGCCTACATCTTAACCCCAGTTTATATAATTACATGTACTCTTAAAAAAGTTATCTCAAATATTAGTTATGCGGAAGAACAATATATACTTGTTGAACAAAATGATGCATTCTAATGAATCCCACACCATAAAAGAAGACCCTGCAACTTTGAATTTCACATTTGTTATATATGCAAAGCTATAAAACATTCAACCAACTATAAAAGAAAGTCTCACAGCTTGGTGGATGTTTGTGTAGATCATGTGGTGTCATATGGCTTAAAATTAGTTATGTGGGCTGATGACTTCAAATTTAGTCAATAAAAATTGGTTTAAATTACTTGCAATAATTTCTGTCGTGGACAGTAAATATTTACGATCGGGGATGGGGTGAGTAAAAACACCTTATAAACAACAATATATTGCGGAAGACTTGGGTTAGGGCAAACACACAAGAATATATATTGTGGAATATTTTGATTTTGGGGTCACCATAATTTTTGCAATTCTACAAGCATGAGTTGCGCAGATTTTGGTGTTACAATTCAAGGTCATCACAGTTGTATATCAAAGATGTGGACCTGGTCCAAAATCTCTTCTATCCTGAATTGATCTAGTCATTTGAATAGAATTGATTGATATTCCAAAGGTAATTAGGTAAGAGAAAAATTATAACAATAATTTTCTCATACTTACATGTCCCCAGTTATCAATGCCTTTGAACAAAAGCCCAATAACCTGCATGATGTATGCCGTGAGTTAAAATCATGTCAACAAGAAACATGCACATAGGCGATTGCCGTTATTCCAACATCAAGAGTTAAATGTTGTATGCTCAGATTAAACAAAACTTAATTATGAATATAGTTTATGCAAAAATACTTCCAAATTATGACAGATTATTACATCTACTTGGTAGACTTGAATAAACAGGGTATGATTCATTAGAATCGTAATAAAATCACAACTCCCAACAAGCAAAGCACTAAATGTGAAAGAGAAGTGGGGGAGATACCATATTTAAAACAATCACACGTGCTATATGCTGTAAATCTTCTTTGCCACCTCCCACTAGGCTTCTATGCCTCAAGACAAACACGGAAACAGATCCAACCTGATCACAGACCAATATAAAATAAAAGGTGAGGAGAAAAAGGAAGATGAAACAATTCAGAGTTAATGGTCCTCTTTGGTATCATTTTCAAAATTCTAGTTTTTTCTTGTTTTCATAGACAAAAATAATGCAAAAGTTATGAAATACCTATCGTTTTCATTTTTTATGCAAAAAAAGTTTCAAAAATTCAAAATTAATTTGGAAGTGTTTCCTGAAAAAGTTGCTTTCAAATTATTATTTTTTCAAAAATAATTTTCAGAAGCAGTTTGCCAAACATGTTTTGTCCGTATACAAATGATACCAAATGTGACTCCTTTTATATTAAAAATAAAGTTTTAAACTATGATTGCATTTCAAGGGCTCCAATCCAACTTTGTGACTCCTGGTGATGACCAGAAGTAATATACTTTGAGACACCCATAATAGAAAATGTTCATGTCACATAATCAATCCTAGAACTGATTACGGCTCATTTCACCATTACTTTCTCAATGAAAACATAGAAATTCTACGAAACTAGGGGATGAAGATTACGTTCCAACCAAACAAAGCATAGAAATGATGCATACAATTAACATTGCAAGAAAATACCAAATGTTTCGAGTTAACTACTAATAATTAACTACTGAAACATCTGAAGAAAATATGTGAGTTTGTAAGTTTCTTTTCTAATTTGATCAAATTTGCTTTGGTTGTACACATGTGATTAACATGTGAAGAAAATGTGTCTAAGCGAACTTGTGACTATAGAGTTTGAAAAGACTTACCAATCCAAAAACTGCTCCAGATGCACCAACAGAAGGTGATTTGCAGAGCCAATAACTCATTGCCGAACCTGATTTCTTGAAAATCTCAAATCAGAATTATAGTGGATTGGGGGTTGTTTCTTCGAAAATAAGCAATTCATTGTCTGTTATAGTGGGATTAGGAGCCGTTACTTGCAATTGCAGAGGTGATATAAACTGCAAGAAATCTTCTAGGACCACTAATGGTCTCCACAGTAGGACCAACAGAGTTCAAAGAATAACAATTAATCTGAAAACATGAAATTCATTTAAACCAACAATCTATAAAACAACCAGATCATGAGAATATCAAGTAGCGTGATTCAAAAGAAACCATGAGGTGACCAATATTTGAGTGCAATACGGAAGACGTGGCAAGCCTCAACAATTGTCCTTGGTCAATAAGACTATTAATCTGCAATTTTTTTTTTTTAAATATAAAACAATTAGAGATAAACCCGGAAAAATGAGTTTTCTGATATGAAAGGTGGTATACAATTTTTTTTTCTTCCCTCAGAGTGATAGTCTAACCTTAGCACCCCATACAAGCAGCTTCCCTTGTGTTGCAATTTGTGCAATATAGACCCTATACCCAAAAATAAAAAAGAATTTAAAAAAATCAGAGGACAAAAGCCTCTTTCACCAATAAAGATAGAGAGAGAAATGTGAATGAAATCTACACTAATTTCCATTCACATTTCCATCCCCTTTTCTTTTCCCTTCACAAATCGTTACCTAAATCCATGATCCAAACACAGTCTTAGAAAGCTGGCAAATAGGACATGAGCCCGATAAGAAGGAAAATATAAATAAACAGACGTGTAGGAGACATTGTGATGTCCTTGTTTGAAAAAAGGTGATACTCACAAGACGTTAATCATAAGGAGGATGTTGGTCCATCCCCTGCCACTAAATGAAAATCTTTTAGATGTCTCCAAGTCTGACCTCCCTAAATTTCCAGAGTTGTTCCTGCTTCCTTCTCCACTAAAAAAACACCTGCAAGATGAGCATGCAGACGTAGCAGCATCTTTTGACCAATCAAGAAAATTAATCCCTTTCAGTCTGATGGAGCTTTCATGCCATGCATCCTTTAAACATGGCACATGACCAAGATAAGAGACGCTCTGTCAACAAGAAAAGCTGCAATGAATGCCACTTCTATATTCAAACTATCAAAAACTAATTAGGAATGAATAAAGTTGCCACAACTGTGTCAACTTGGCTCTTTTTAAAAAAAAATTTAGTAAGTAATGCTAATGAAACCAATGCCTTTTACTTTTTCTATGAACTTGGTCACTTTCTTTTTGCCCCTGCATAGTTTGTGTCACGTGATGAGATAATGACCTATATCAGTTCAGCTGTAGGGTTATTAACATGACTTATAGCTTTTTCCTTTTATCCTTACATACGCATTTCTCTTCACTGTTCTTATGGCATTCTCTTTTAAATCCAGATGCAAGTATGATAATTCATTTGTACGTTTCTGTTCCCCCTTTTTCTCTTTGCGCTATATTTTTAACCACTGCACAAGGGATGAAGTTTAAATATTGGAACTGAAATTTTGAATTCTTCAAAACCACTCCAAATTGTTGAAGAGATGGGCTTTATATCGTTCCAACTTTCCAGCCTTCGATAAAATAGTTTTATCGTTCCAACTTTCAACCATGTGAATGCTTCTTATGCCAAAACCCAGGTGGATGAAACAGATAAATCAGAATATCTGTCACTTAAATCCAGTGGTTTATATCTTAAAAGTTCGATACTATAGATTGAACCAAAATCAGCTTGCCTCAAGCTTGTTAACCTATGTTGCATGAACATGAAAACGGGACAAGTTGTCATAATATGGCCACACATTATAATATTTTACACCAACTCTTGCTCCCATGACTGAAACCATATATATCTCACTTCTATTATAAACTGAGAAGGACAGACACAACTACAGACATGGCACAAAATTTAAAAAATTAGGATACAGATAGTCGTATAAAATTAGAATAAAGATCTTTAATCTACAAGCTTTACACATGTTGATTCATCCTCACAAAAGCAAATTTGGTTTTGGTACTCATTATGTTTATACTAACAAGCTGTGTATCTTATCTTTTGGCAATAAAGAATGCCTATTATATGTAATAATGACTAATGAGAACTCCACAATAGTTGGAAATCCTTGAAAATCCTTAAATTCATTCCCAGTGCCACCAAATTAGACCAAGCAAAGCAACTT